TAAAAATACAATATTAGTTATGTCTGGTTTCAGCACCAACATATAAACAGGTTGGAAGTTGTCACTTCTGTCCTACAACAAGAAAAAGCTGGACATACTAAAAATTGACAACTTTTCTTGACCTATCAGAGAACTGAGGTCACAGGACAAACTACCATCCCTAAATCTGGAGAGAAAGACACTTTCAAAAATCTACAGCACCTAAAATCTGCTTAACTAAAGCAGAAGCTGCTGGAACCATAAGATGGTAAAAACATTTATACGATAGTTCTGAAAAATTGCTAAAGACTAAGTGTAGACTAGTATGACAGTCAGAAATTCATAGGATCCACAGTCTCAGGAGCATCTTCACATTTTTTAATGTACTTTCACTTCTAGGAACCCTATCAGGTTCTTACAATGAAGATACAGAATCCAAGAAAAGTCTCCTTATGGTGCTGGAGAGAGAGTAGAAGAGTAACCATTCTGAAATACATCTAGAACCCTCTCCATAGCAAATGCTAACTCTCCAGTACAATTCTGAAACTTTACTCTAGCTGAGAGAAGAGAATTCCTCTGCACTCCAGAATCTTCCAACCTTCCTGTCTCACATGAGGGAAAAATAGTAAACAAGGGTCAGACTTCCAAAGAAGTAGACTGGAAACACTTAGGCAAAATATGGAACAGGAGACAGGAAGGGAAAAGCTCTATCATTAAAGAAACACTTGTAAAGGTCACATACCAAAGACACAGACCCATTAAAAGACAGATGTAATCAGACGATTATAAAATATCTCCCTGATCCACACCTTAACACCACACCAACAGGGATCCAGTATAATAATAGTGAGTTATAATTTAAAGAGCTGCAAGACACAGACTCTCTCTCAGAGGAGTACTTAGGAAAGTACAATGTCAATTGGGGAGACAAAAACAAGAACACTAGAAAACTTTAAGCCTGAGGCACCTATAGTTACAGAAAAGATTAAACAAAGCCCAATTCTTTTCAGATTAACATGAATCCTCAGACTAGAGGCTTGCTTACCTTAATTCCTGACATCAGATACAATATGTTCAGCTTTCAACAAAAATTACAAGGCACACCAAAAGACGTGAAAAATCATAGGCTGAAGAGAGGATGCAAGCATCAGAACAAGACTGATATAAACGTTGGGATTATCAAACAGGAATTTAAAATAACTATGGTTAATATGTTAAGGGCTTTAATCAAAAAAAGTAGACAACACGCAAGAACAGATTTATCATGTAAGGAGAGAGATGAGACTTCTAAGTAAGAATTTTAAAATGCCAAAAATGAAAAAACACTAGCAGAAATGAAGGATGCTTTTAATTGGCTCATTAGAACATAGGGCACAGCCAAGGAAAGAATGAGTAATCTTGAAGATATGTCAATAGAAACTTCTTAAACTAAAATGCAAAGGAAAAAAAGAATGAAAAAGGAAAAGAATATCCAAGAACTATGAGACATTTTCACATGATGTAATGTGTAAATAGATTACCAGAAAGAGGAGAAATGGAGATGGAAAGCAGAGGATAGAGCAAGGAAAAAGAAACTAGAGTAGGAACCTGTAAGCTGAAGGAGTGCTATATAATAAGAAGCAGTGCTGTGCAATATGGAGAGCTCATGAAGCCAAAAAGACCTTTGTAGGTGTGGGAGTAAAAAGCCGAAGTTAGCCTCAGTCTCCTTTATGAAGCAGGAGTCTGAGCCATTGTATGAAGTGTGGTAGTGGTAGAATATAAGGGGCTGTTGTTTGAGAGGACTAATGAAAAAACTTGGAGTACAGATGAGAGGAAAATAGGAGAAAGAGATGACCTGGGGCGTGTGAAAGGATTGCAGAATGGCCAGATGGGCCAACTGAGGGTGGAAATTCTGACTGTTAGAGGCACCAATATTTGGGATGCTGCTCCTTTCTCCCACAGTGGTTACTATGGGATTGGAGAAAGCATTTGTTTGGAGAGACCCAAATCTGGGGCTAAATAGTGCAGACGTGGCATTTGGAGGGCAAGGGGATGAAGAGGCAGTTAATACTAAATTAATATGCCCCAAGATTTTGGCTGGAAAGGCAAAAAAGTGAAGAGAAAAGGAAGATCTTGGGCACTGGACCCTTCAGTGAAGACAAAGAGCAAAGGACATGGATCCAACCTTTATTAGATTTGCTTCTCAGTGGGATATTGGAGTTGAAGCCATGCCCAGTGATGGCAAGTGACTGGGAGTGGTTGAGGTACTAAGAAGTTAAAGGTCAGAGAGGTGTGAGGCCAGGGTGTACGCGGTGAGACTTCCATGTGTAGATTGTTGGTGGCATCCAGAATAAGGACAGGACTTGAAGTGTCAGGAAGCCTATGAGCTGGTGCTTACAGTGTGAAGGACAGCAAGGATAATGCCCACATCTACGAACACTCTCAGGCCCAGTCCCTGGGCTAGTTAGAAGTTGGGCCTGGGAAAACATGTAAGATTAAGAGAAAACTTGGTTTCAGGGAAGGCCACAAAGTGAAGGGAATGTTTTCAAATAATTTATTTTCCTCTTTGTTATCTGGTTTATTTGTGTGTTTTGAAGTTGAATTGTGAAAGCACACATAAAGTTTTCACGGGACACATTTTACTTTTTTGACCCCATAAAGTCCTGGAATGCAGTCAGAAGGTCTGTCTGAATCCTACTCCCAGATCTCTGACCATTCCCAAGTCTGAGCCCTAGTATGACCATTCATATAATAACAAGAAGGTTGGAATGGATGAGCTCCTACATTTTCTTCTGCCTCTGATAACTGTAAGCCCAGGGTATAACTGCTAGAATCTCCCTGAAATATTTTAGTTATTGTCTAATAGCCTGTCCTTTCTGGAGAGAAAGGATCTATAAGGAAGAGACCTGAACTTGCTTGTTGAAAGTCCAAACCCCAATTTTTAAAAATTGCCACACACATCACAATGCATCTTTTTGTCTGAGGCAAAATCCCAAGATGAATGGGCCAGTATAATCTAGTGTTTAAACAAGTCAGCTTTAGAGACTGGCTATTTTTCCACTAACCAACTGTGCAATTTGGGCAGGTTATTTAACCTCTGTGTATCTCATTTTCTTCAAGAATAAATTGAAGATGATAGTAGCACATATCCCAGTGTTGTGAATGTTAAATTAAATGATAAACATAAAATTTTTAACAGTGTCAGATACTTTGAAGACCTCGATATGTGTTATCTATCATGATTATTATTATTCAAAAAATATATTAGTATAGGAGGGGACAACACTACATGTTCACAATCTGTAAAGCTCTATGCAGGGAAATATCCTAAAGCAAAGTGTGTAGAAATAAATAACACAACCGATTCCACTTTCTAAGGCCCTGTATCTAACATGGAAAATTTCCAAGTATGTCATAAAGCCATACATTTTCAAGAAAAGTTGGAAGTCCCATCAGTCAGACAGCAGTATGTTCTTCCTCTAACCCTTGGAAGTCATATGTCTGCCCATGTTTCTCAGATTTTATTTTTCACTGATTCATGGGGAATTTCTCAGTTGAAAATATCAGGTGGTCTCCTCATTTATTCCCCTCCCTTCTCCCTTATAGAATCTCCTCTTAAGCTTCCTTCACTGCCCTTGCTTCTCCTTCATCTCCCCTTAACCTTTTCTACTTTAATATTAATACTTATACCCCTTTATTCCATTATAGCCCTTCCCTTTTATTCTATTTTACGTCCCTTTATTCCACCTCAACCCCCATTTATTCCACATCACCCCTCCCCTTTATTCCACATCACCCCTCCCCTTTATTCCACATCACCCCTCCCCTTTATTCCACATC